CGCAGCGGCCGGGGATGTGCGCGCACGGGGCTGGAGCGCGGCTCGGCTCCCGCTGCCTCCTCAGGCACCTCCCGTCCCGCACCGCCGCATCCTCCCGCGGCCCTCAGGAGCCTCCGTGCCGAGCTCCCGCTCCTCCACAGCCCTGAGGAGCCAGCCCTCACCCGAACCCTCCCACAGCCCCCGGAGCCTCCGTGCCGAGCTCCCGCTCCTCCACAGCCCTGAGGAGCCGCCATCCCGCTGCCCTCACGGCCCGGGTCAGGCTGCCCTGAGGGCTCGGACCCCTCAGACATGGAGCTCGGGGATGGGCTGAAGCATCTCCGCAGATCCAACCCCAGCCATTGTGGGATTCTGGGATCTTGGCATCCCACGGGTGTAACACACAAACCGCACCAATGTTAGCTGATGTTTACACATTACATAAACAATCCTTGGTCAAGACCAAAGTATGAAGTCTCCCTCCCAGGATGTGGCTCTGTGTCCTGAACGTAAAGGTGTTCATGGAGCTTGTTTTCATTTTAGTCACAAATATGATTGCAGGATCTGGTAATGTCAGTGCTAACCTTCCTTATTGTATTAATTCTGAGACAGATCAATTATTTTCCGTTCAAGTCCAGTTAAACTACCCTGACAAAAGTACAAAATCCACGAGTGGAGAGACGGTAAACTGAATAAAAATGACTTCTCACGTGTGTATGGACAAGAAGAAAGCACGTACATTAATCTCATTATGTCAACAGACCTTTGAATTACAGGTCTCTCCATAATCTACAAACCTGCTAGAAGAGAACGTGGTGTGAGGTCTCATCATGTAGATCTTGTGTGGACGGCTGTGACGGGAACTCAAACAATGCCTTGCAACTGAGACAAGCCATGGGTGTCTAGTCAGTTCTCAAGTCTCAGCTGGTAATCAGTAATTAAATAAAAAGCATCCAGTGCTGAATCACTTCTAAGTCGGTGCTGATTTTTGTACAGTTGATCTGCCTCCCATCACGCCAAAGGCGAAGGAATTGCAGCTCTCACTCGAGCCAAGACAAGCTGTAATTAGCACAGAGGATATTGTTAATAGTTAAGTATAGTTTGCTGCCAGACGGTGTCTAGGCTGATTCAAGTCTTCTCCTCCTTTATCCAACATGTTTGGTTTTACCCTGCAGAAGGATACATAGAGAATTCAGCCTGTAAATTCAGACAGAATCTGTGATCTGGTGCAGGAGAAGGCAGATTACAGCTATGTGAACAAGACCAGGATAAAACCTCTTATTCTGTCACCTTGTAATTATAACATTGAAAAGGGTTTGGACTGCTTTCCATATCTGTCTTCTACAGCTCTGTTTAATGAGCTGAGCACAGAGAAGAGTGCAAGAGACAAGGGAACAGTGATTTCTCTGGGGCTTTAAAGCTGTTGGGTTAGCTCTCTTCTCCTGGAGAAAGGGAGGAAAAGCCTCCTGAAGCTGATTTCTGCTTGGAGCCGTTGTGCAGTTAATTTTATTGCTATAGATTTATGAGGTATCGCCTAAGATAATTTGTTTTCTATTGTGCATTCCTAGCATGGCTGGAGTGCCAGGCAGTGGGTGTGGGAGCGAGCCTGAGGAGTCAGGGCAAATTCATTTCAAGTCACTGGAACCAACCTAATAAAATGTATTAATCACTGGCTAGCTTTCATCACAAGGAGCTGACGTATGAGGAAGGAATGTGATAAACAATTTGATCTCAGATAAAGGTGAGGAGTGAGGCAAGCTCTTTGTGCCAGTTGTAAGGCAAGCTTATAGAGCTATTTTGGTCTCAAGTTCTGTACAACCTGTGATTCAGACCTGATCAAGCTATTCATGGCACGTTCAGCTTCTGTGAAGTTGAAAGACAGGTTAGGTTTCCTCATCTCTGAGCAGCTGGGGAAGTTTTTTTGGGAGGCCTTTTTTTTTCTTTGTTTTGGTGTAGAAATTCCATCACTCAGGTCCACTGTGAAATATACTGAGAACCTGCTGTGACATTGCTTTCCTAGCCCAGATTTCCCACATTTTAAGTGGGATGGAGTTCACAGAGTACTTCCAAGAATAAAGCATAGAAAAATTCTGTCAGCATAAGTTGACTGTTATTGATGATCCACCTAATCTTTTATTGCAGAGTTCAGGGCTTATGCTGATTTCATATTTAACATAAAGTAGTCTTTATTTACACTGTCAGTGCCAGCTCAGAGGAGTGACTGTTAGATGCACTAAATTGTAATCTGATCTTGCCTTGGAGTTGATGAGAGACTGAAAAGTTTTTTTGATGGCAGAGAAAACTAAAAGGGAAAAAGAGAAGCTTTATTTTCAAAATTACAATAAGAAGGTCCTGGTTTCTTTAAAAAATAAATTCTGTACTTACAGGCTTTCTTTTTGATAGCTTCTGCAATTTTGATACATTAATCTTGTGTACATTTCGCTACAAAGAGGCATTTTCAACAGCAGTGTTTGCACTTGGATACTCCATTTTCAGAATATTAGGGACCAGTGTGACCTCAAATTGCTTTTTCCCTCACCTTGGTGAGTGAGTGGTGCAGACAGACCAGTGCTGTCATGAAGGCATCTGATGTTCACAGATGTGATGTTCAAATTAAATACAAATAATATTGTAGAACACTACTTACAGGTCCCCATGAATGCAGGGAAATACATTCCATACCTTTCTGCTGACAGTGCTGATCCTGAGGCAGAAAGTGTGAATTCACATCTGCTGCATCAGAGAGGAAGAATCTGAGAAGGGGAGCTTGTTATATTTTATCTCCATGGAAAACTCTCCATGCCAACAGCTCTACAAAACACAGGAGCAAGGCTCAGCAAGTGAACCCCAGTGCGTGGCAACTTAGCTGCTTTATTAATAACATAAAAATAATAATAACAACAATAATAATAAAAATAAAACAATAATAAAACCAGTAGTATTTAAATAGAACTCATGTAATAAAAATTTTGCTTCTTGTCCTGAAATTTTATTTGTTTGTTTGAGTTTCTTAAACTTTATTTTATTGGTGGGTAGGGGGGGATCAATAGTTGGATTAGTAATGAGTTTTTGTGTTCTCTTTCTTCCTTTGCTTTCTTCTTTCTTGTCAGGAAAACTATCAGCATATTTTTTCTTCCCCACTCCTCCTCCAGAAACTTGTAGTTGTTTGATGCAATATTTACTTACCTATGACATGATTGTTTTTAAAGTTCATGTATGAGATCTTTTCCAATAAAATATTTATAGTTTCCTGGGGTTGGGGGGGGTTCTTTCATTTTGTACTTTTATTTTGTCTGGCTTTATGGGAAAGGTTGTCTTCATACCATTCTACCTGCCAAAGAAATGTTTATTTCAGGCAGTTTATAAATCTAGTTATAAACTAGATCCAGTGATAAACTCATGAAGTTTTCTGAAAATACTTTCCTAGCAAGTCAAAAGCCGATACTGATACATTAATTTATCCTCTCTGAGGTTTCTAACTAAAATAATGAAAAGCTTTTAAAGCTTTTTCTTCCCCTTCATCTAGCAATCCATTTGTGTCCAATGACTGTGAATGACTTTGAAGTTCCCCCTTGTTTAAACAGGCAGTTGTGAGCCCAGCTGACACCTCACACTTGCACTCGTGCTTGGGGTTTAATGATTGAACTCTCCTGCTCAGGGAGCCCGTGCTGCTGCTGGGCTGTCCAGGTCAATAGGTAACACTTCAGGGTTTCTTTACATGGAGGAATTCCTGAACATTTCTTGTTTGGTTTTCCACTACTCGCCGAGTATTCCTGGTCCAGAACTTTTTTTGGGGAAAAAAAGGGAAAATCAAAGGTGTAACTTTGCAAAATTCACTTTAAATGCAATTTAAAACATTACTTTTATTTTTTTGGTACAGATTGGGATCTTAAGTTTGTCGTATTCTTAGACAGAAAGCTCTGCCTAATAAGCCTTTTGGAATAAAACCTCTGGTGTTAAGCTTCTCTGGAAAGCATGTTATGGCTATTTGTGAAGAAAACTCTGCCCTCTGCTAGTGACTGTCACCCAGTAAATGTGGCATAAGTGAGAATTTTGGGTGCCAGCACTGAATAAGGAGCACCTGTGCCTTTTACCACAAAGGAACATTTTTACACTAACGGTGGTTGATAGACCTGAAAATTCAAGTGGAGTAGGCTGTGTGGAGTCCCCGCTTTAATGTTTTATAAGCTCCTGTTCCACTGTCCTGGCTTCCCCTCTGAGCTGTCCGTGCTGTGTCCCCTGTCCCCTGTCCCTTTTCCCCTGTCCCCTGTCCCCAGGTGTGCTGGGGACATTATTGGGCTGTTATTCTCACCTCACTGGGGGACTTTCTGTCGTGCTCTCATGGCCAAACCTCTCCTGCCCCTCGCTTTCGTAGCTGCTGTTCCAGAAACCTTGCACAGAACCCTTTTGCTGAGCTGACAGGATTTTTATGTCCGTTTTTTATGTCCGTTTTTCATGTCCGTTTTTTCTGTCCGTTTTTCATGTCTGTTTCTTCATGTCTGTTTTATCATGTCTGTTTTATCATGTCTGTTTCTTCATGTCTGTTTTATCATGTCTGTTTTTTCATTCTGTTTTTCTGTCTGTTTTTTCATGTCTGTTTTTTCATGTCTGTTTTCTCATGTCTTTCCGAGCTGCTGCAGCGGGTTTGCGCTGTGCAGAACGCGGGGAGAGGACTGTTCCCGTGTCCGAGCGGGCCAATGCGCTCATTTCGCCAATGATTCCTCGTCCGGCTGCACAAATAATGATAGCTTTTATAAAATAACTGGGATCGAGTTACTCTTGCATGGCACACGAGTCACGCAGGAGCGCTCGCACAGGCTCAGAGCAGGAGCTTGTGAGGCACACGGGGCTGGGACACTTGGGAAAGCATCCCTGGGGATTGGCCGTTTCCATGGCGCGGGGTCGCCGCTGTCGCCACTGTCGCCATTGTCGCGATTGTCGCCGCTGTCGCCGCTGTCCGTCCCGGCGGGTGCAGCGGGAGCCGCCGCCGCCAGAGGGCGCTGTGCCCGCGCTGCGGCCGGAGCGACGCCCGCTAATTACCCCGTTAATTACCCCGTTAATTACCCCGCTAATCACGCTATTAATTAATTACAACAGCGGCCTCGGCTGCATCGGACTGCCCAGGCCATCAACTGCTCCCACAGCCTTACCTGTGTTTGTGATGGCTGTATCACGTTACTCCCGTTCTTTAAAATGTCATTCATAAAATCACAGAACGGCTCGGGTTGGAAGGGACCTTAAAGCTCATCCCATTCCACCTCCTGCCATGGACAACTTCCACTGGCCCAGGTTGCTCCAAGCCCCATCCAGTCCAGCTGGCCTGGGACACTTCCAGTGATGGCTCAATGTTCCCAGTGATGCTGCACGCTCATTTGATTTCTTTGATTTGTCTTAGAATTCTTGTAATCGTAAGGTGAAGTTACCAACATTTTAAGAAAATGTAAAACCATTGTAAGGAACATTTTTTTCTAGGAAAATACGAGATGTTTATTGTAATTAGATGATCAGATTAATTAAAGCTTTTTCCTCTCGGTGTTTTATGTGTCTATTCACAAACAAGCCAAGCCCCTGTGAGACCCCAGGTGTGTACACATGAACGCAGCAGAACTGCCCCTGATATTAACCAGATAGGACTGGTGCAATGCTCATAAGTAAAGCTACAAAAGTACAAGCCAAGGAGACTTGAAAAGTAATTCAAATTTTCCATGCATGTCACATTTGGAAATACTGAATCCTTTAAGTTCAGCCACTGTCCCAGTTGTGTTGAGATTTTAGAAGATACTCTTGCTTCTGTTGGCAGGTCTCATAGCTTCCCTCCTGAGTTATTATACCAGAAACTAAAAACTCCAGCACAGATAGATGCACAAGGAGGGAAAAATAATCATCTGATTGGAACTGGGGATGTGTATTTACAGTTTAATCTCACTATAACCCCCTCAGGGGCTCAGAGCAAATGCTCTGTGCAGGGGTGGTTTGCTGGAACATGCTCTGCAGTTTGTCGTGTTACAGCAATGAAAGTGCCTGGTCAATATGGGCAGACTGAGAGATAATCCACTTCTATGCAGATTACTCCACATTAGGAAGATGTAAGTGACATCCTAAAATTAAAAAAATACAAATGAGGAAAGGGTGGGGTGGAGCCACAGGCAAATGCTGGCATACATATTGCTTGCATTAAGAGCAGCAAGAATTATTGTCTCTCCAAGTTAGCCTGGTGCAAAGGATCACAGTAATAGGCCCAGCTACTGAGTTATTAGCTCTTGCTTTTATAAACAGAGTTATGGTTTACAGCAGCCTTTCTAAAAGTCAGTTTAGTCTGGATCTTCCTGAGCAGGCTGGGCTGGTCTGCTCACAGGGCTGGCTGCCTGCAATCCGCTCCATTTACAAAACAAACAAAACTGACTTTATTCAGGGCTTAAACAATAAAGTTATGATTAATCTGATTATGCCAGAACACTGGTGATGCTGAAACACCAAATGTGTAATGTCATTGCAACCACGGTGAATGCTTTGTTGCAAAATCATCTTTGTGTTTCATTGGCTTATATTGATGGATGTTGAGTGGCTGAATTTGGGAAGTGCTCTGAGATCTTGGAGGAAACATACTGGCATTTTTTTCATGTCCCTTTAGGTCTGAGACACATCAGAGTGTGGGGTTTCTTTCACTGTAAATATTATAATGGTGCCAGCAATGCAGTATTTACTGCTTTTCATATGCGTGAGAATACTAAACATATGTATTTCTAAAGGAAATTCCAGAAGAATGTGAAACTAGCTTGTAGCAATAATTTGTAGGTTTGTGTCCATTGTTTTCAGGAATATGTAAATTGTTACATTATAGAACTCGCTTTGAACCCTGCTGCATAATTAGCTGCACTAAACATCAGTGTTCAATTTAGGAAAACTGTAGCCAAGTGTTTTATTAGAATTTCGTGGAAAAGGAGAATGTGAACAAAACCATAGAGCAAATGATCTGAAATGCAGTTAAAAATAATGAAAACCAAGCACCAGCCACATAAACACACCAGATGAAGACACAGCAAATGAAGATCATAAAAAGGAAACTGGAATAAAAACACCCAGAGCCATTCCCCAGCTGAACTAAGTGGGGACATCTGCACCAGGAGCGAGGGAACCGTGGTCATTGGTGTTTGCTGAGGGGCTGCTCTGTGAATTTTGTTAAATTTTGTTAAAAGGCTCACGGTTAGGAGGAAGTGACATGAACAGTAATGACTTTTTGGCCAACTGGTTGCACGATCTCCTGCAGAGATTTGGTGTTGTGACAAATGTCCTCCTCCAGATCCAGCTGATTTCAGCCTGTCGCTGTCCTGGGCTGCAGGAGCTCTGCCTGAGGCTGGGGCACACAGCCACTGCTCCTCCTCAGCCCAGAGAGCAGCAGGACAGCTGCAGCTGCATTCCCTGGGGGGCATTCTCCAGTGCACGTGATCATAAACCCCCAAATCCCAGGAAAATCAAAGAGTAGAGTTGTGATGACTGGAATGAGTGTAATTACCTGTACAAGTCCATGGATTTGCATGTCCATGGTGTTTTCCAGGTACCCGAGCTGGGACACCCATGGTGTGCCGCCAGTGCTATTTGCAGTGCTCCAAGCCCCAACCCTTTTGAAGACCTGGTGTGAAACCCACTTTTGCTTGCATCTCAGCACAGCTCTTCCTAATACAATTAAAACCCAGAGTGCCTGAATTGTTGGCTCAGGCAACTCCATCTGCCCATCTGTTTCTGTGTCTTATTGCTCTCACTTTGATGTGTGTCAGTTCCCTCATGCCTCTCCTCACCAGCGTGTTCAGCTGCGCAAGAGATCTTCCTCTGCCTCCTTCAAGACCTTGCTTTAAACACGTGCACAGGAAAATACAAATCCTGACCAGCTTCACAAAGAACTGTGAAATAAAACATTAGCCCTGCCCTGAGAGGTTCTGGTGTGGGATCTCTGGTCAGCTGGAGCTTTGGGAACTTCACTTTGTGTTCCAGCCCCCTGCAGCGGGGTGGGTTTTGGGATGTGCGTGCTGGATGCTGCGGGGTCCAAAAGGGACAAAACACCATGACAAATGAAGTTACGGTAAGGGCATGGCCAAATCCCATGCAGTCAGCTCATTTTCCCCGTGGGGAGTGTCTGCCCTGGTGTGCTGTCACTCGGCCGGCGCGGGGAAGTGCCAGGGGCCGATGGAAGGTGGATGTGGCACGGTGCTGCTGTGCCCGGCCTGGGCTGTGTGTGCTGTTGGCAGAAGGTTCAGCAGAGGTGTGAGTGTGCACGGAGTGACACACGGAACAGCCAGATCCCAGCCTGCTTCCCAATGCCAGCTTCACTCTCCCTGCCACCGGCACCTGGAAGGGTCCTGAAAGCTGCAGAGGCGAGGAGGAGGAGGAGGAGGTCAGCAGAGGGGACAGCAGGGAGGACTCGGAGCAGGCTTTGGTCAACAGAGAATCAGAGAGAGCAAATTCCATCTCCTGAGTGGCAGCGAACCCATGGAAGGGCGGGATGGGGAACGGCAGGAGGCAGAGAGGGAAGGAACGACGACGACGACGATGATGATGATGGTGATGATGATGATGATGATGATGGTGATGATGGTGGTGATGATGATGATGATGATGATGATGATGATGGTGGTGATGATGATGATGATGATGGTGATTAGCGTTGTATGGCCGAGGCTGCAAGAGGAGGGGACCTTTAAAGGGATGCTGAAGAGGCAGTGTGGGGTAAGGGCAGAGGAGGAGGAAGCAATGGATGGGGAAGGAGGCAAAGGCGGGCCCTGAGCGCGGCAGAGAGAAAAGGTCTGAGCAGAAGGGGTAAGAGCCGGGAGAGGGGAGCGGGGGATTACCGGGCTGCAGGGCCGGGTGTCCCGCGGGGGAACAGCCGGGGCGAGCCAGAGGGAGCCTGGGATGCTCGTGATGAAGAGCAGAGGGTCCGGGCCGTGACCGCCGTGTGCTGGAGCTGCGCCTTCCCAGCCCCCTGCCAGCACCAGGGGGGTCGGAGGGGGAGCGAGCAGGGAGGG